GTGTAGCAAAAAGCATAAATCTACAACTCAAATAGAATTATTATTTTTTGGAGAATCCCAATCTGCAATAAAAAAATAATAGGATTTCACATTTAAGATTTCAAGGTTACCCTCCCCCCCTCGAAGGGATGGGGTGAAAGATTAGTTTGGTAATATTGGATAGCTTTTAAAAGATATTGACTATGTTTACCGATCCGATGTGTAAGTCTCGAGATATTTGTCAGTTTGCATTTTTACACATATCCAGAGCCGGATTATACCTTTCGTAGGCCCTAGGCATAGCCCTTTTTGGGCCCTACCCTCCTTCCCCCACTCCTCCCCTCTTTTCAAAATCTATGCTAAAATTTTCTTGCATATTTTTTTTAAACATTTTTATTAATATGAATTTTAATTTACAAATTTGTTTATCTTACTTTATCTGCAATACCGACATACTGCCGATATTGCAGTTGATATCGATAATTCCATTATGATTAGTTCGATCGATAACTATGTAAACACTTCACGTCAACAATACAACAACAAACCAGCAAAGAAAACAGTGAAATTGATAGTGAGATTAATTACAAGAAATATTTACGCCATTTTAGATGTATTAATTTCAGAAATGACTATAAGGCGTAAAGCTTACAGTGATTTGTACGATAATTTCGGTTTTCTTGTTCACAAAAATTTGTCAGAATCTGAGATTAAACTATAAGCGCAAAATTTGGTGAAAATTTACTCATCCGATTTAGAGGCAAACTTTGTAGATGAATTTTTACTATTTTCAAATTTGTATGAACATAAATCTGTACAAGAAATGTTGAAGGCTCAAATTAAAGATAAACTTGTAAATACTTTTCCTAACGTTCACATTGCATTAGAATATATTTGCCGATTGATCAAATGCAGAAGGAGAAAGATCTTTCTCCAGATTAAAATTGATAAAAAATTATTTGCGTTCAACAATGAATCAAGATCGTTTGGCATCGCTCTCACTTATGTCTATTGAATACGACAATTTGCGTAGTTTGGAATTCGACATCATAATACAAGATTTCGTTGAATCCAAAAATCTAAAAAAAGTAATATATTAGGTCATAAGATTCTGCAAAATAATTTATTACCGAAAAATATTATATTTTTATTTGTATCTTCATAATTTTGTGTAAAATACACTTATTGTTTTTAAAGCTAAATTATTTTTGTCAAAATTTTTTTTTACTCCCAAGTTTTTCGTAGGCCCCTGAATTTCGTAGGCCCTAGGCACGTGCCTAGTGTGCCTATAGGTTAATCCGGCCCTGTATATATAAGTCCCCAATTAGGCTTAATCGTGCCTTTGTTTTAACCGATCTAAAAAGAACAACGATTCAGAAAACTGTTTGGAGCTTTTAAAGCGACATAAAATGAAATTAAAAAAAGGGTTTTCTTTCCTGGGATGAAAGAAACATGGATCATCTGGTACACTAATGTGCAAAGACGGATCGTTTTGGGGGGAAAAAAGGCATTAAAAAGCTAGAAGAGCGTTTGAATGAATGTATCTTTCTTGAAAGAGTAAAATTTATGAATAAGTGTGAGCCGCGATGACTCAGGAGACAGAGCGTTCGCCTTCAAATGAGCTGGGCCTGGTTCGAGTCCCAGCGGTGACTGGCTGGTGTAAATTCAACTCCCGGCTCGCCACTTACCTCAGTGCCAACATACCATATCCTCAGAGGTGGATAGATCATGGGTTCCTGTCGTGCTAACTATAAGAGCTTCTTATGGTTATCCTCTTAATTTAAGGCAAATGGGGATTAGTTCCTCCACGATGACTGGTTTGTCTCAATGCATCACTTAAAAGTTTCTTTGTCTTCTGTGTTGGGTTCAAAATGACATGCCTTCGGTGTTGAATATTGATAGACACAAATTCAGAATTGGATAAACCGTTCAACGCTAATTACAATATAAATAGGTATGAAAATACTAAAATATTTTTTGCGCAAAATATATTTAATCATGTAAATTAAATGCTTTCCGTAAAATCTTCCTTACAATCTTTTTACTTTGAAAAGAAAAGAACTGTCCCAAATTTTTTTTTAAAAAAAAGAAAAACTTAATTAGAATGATTATGTAAAATAATCATTCTAATTAATTCTGAGCATTGTAACGGAATCAAAAATGTCAACTATCAAAAATGTCAACTTAAAAACTAGCTAGATTTGAAAAAAAAAATACAGTTTTCACAGATTGCATATACAATTAAACTGCAACTATCAATTTAAAATTATATCATTGAAATATTCAAAAGTTGCGTAATTGTATCATGTAATGAAATTATAAAACAAATTATAGGTTGAGAAAAAGGATTTTAATCACTAGTGAGAATGGAAATCATTTTGAATTTCTAGCAGATCTATTTTTCTAACAGATGGCAGCACTAATTATTAAAAATAAAAAGTGTAAAAAAAGTTTTTAAAGAATCTCTTGGTGCCATCTATTGTAGTAACATTTAAGCGTATTTTTACACAAATAGACATTTAAGAACAAAAATTAAATGCCTCTTTATGTAAATATGCTAAAAAGATACTTTAGTTAAAAATATTATGATTTCTTAGAATGAAATAAAAAAAATTACTAAAGATGGATAACTAAAATGAAAGCATTAATTATTAGATATGTTTCATAATTAAAAACAAAAAAAAGTATATGCATTTGAAATGTATCATTTGCCCTTTATTTTTAAAAGTTCTCTCAAAATCGAATGTTCTTTTAGCCGCACATTTTCAATGCTGCTACTTTCTCAAAAAGAGTAATTCTTAAAATTTGTTCATGAAGAATGTGAATGGAAAAAAAAAAACTTACTTTGTATTGTACTAACTTTGTACTGTGCATATTATTTATTAAGCATGATTATTCTTTTTCTTCTTATAATCAAAATTTTTATGCAGCAACTCGTAAATAGAAATAATGATTTTCGTAAATAAAAATACAATCGAACCTCTATTTAACAAAATCACCAAATCCCAATAATAAGTCCGTAATGGAAAATTCATTAAATTCAAAATCACCTTTTAAAATACTTCAGCAACGCAAAACAGGTTTTAAATTCATAAACACTGGACAATTAAAACAGCAATTAATGCACTTTTATCTTGTAAACTAGTATCTACTCTTTATTTTATAAATCTTAAAATCTGAAAGGAAAGCAAGAATAAAGCAAAACATTATCCAGTGTTACACTATCATGTTGTATACATTTTCAGCTAAAAAAAGAAAAAAACTAAATTTATGCATAAAATTATAGCTGCATTTATTATAAGAATAATTTTAAGCATACATTACCACACGCGCTCTTAAGTTTAATTGCTACTGATAAAATCCGTTAATTTGAACTGAATTTTTCATTTGAAATGCAAACAAAGGGGGATTTTACTGCTTTTTCTAAAAGTGAAACTAGAACAAAAACTTACTCAATTTGATATCATTTATTCTTCTTATGTTCCCTTATCGGAAAATTTCATTATAAATCTTAAATGAATCCTAGGAAAAAGATAGTCAAACAAAAAATAATCAAAAACTAAATTGCAAGTATAACACTTTTATTTGTAACTAATTTGTAATATTACAACACAAAAATGAAATAGAAATTTAATCTGTACATTATGTAAAAAGTTTAACACAAATTAAAAAATTGAACTTCAATAATCCAATAGCAAAAATTTCACAATATCAAATACACGATATCAAAATTATACAATACAACACCCTATCAAAATGCGCTACCAATTTAAATTGAATAAATTTGAAGTGGCAAACTACAGAAAAAAACAAATTTCAAATACAGCTATAACCCTTATGATCAATAAATATATTACATAGAATAGATTACATAGAACAGAACATATTACATAGAATAGAAATATATTACAGTAAATTAAAGTTTAAAAACTTTGCTGAAAGAACAAAGCAAAAGACAATAAAAGCTTTGGTGACTGAGAGCAGTTAATCTGAAGGTTTGCTTTAAATTATACAATCTGACATAAAAATGTGATAAACATAATTTTTCTCAAGAGACAAGGAAACACCTGGATCATACTAGCCTTCATGGAGGACTTTGTTGCAACTAACCCGCATTTGCGTAACATGGAGAGGAAAACCATGAAAACCTCCCACGGTTAGCCCGACGGTGTGGGGATTTTTAACCCACTATCAGTCTACCACTAAGGACATTTTATGTCAGCACTGTTTTCTGTGCGAAGTTATACGTAAACAGCAGCAGATTCTGGCGAGTCTAACTTGAGCCACCTCATTGGGAGGGTAAAAACGAATCTGTTCTTTTCCCATTTGGTAAAGACTGCAGAACAACTTCGAGAAGCTCTTTCATCTGGATATCACAAACTCATGAATCTGAAAAATTATCAATATTCAATTTTTGCAAAATAAGATTCAGTTTACATAGAGAAGGCTTTGGATAAGAGAAAAAAATAAAGGTTATCGTCTCACCTATTAGACCAGCAAGGAAACAAGTTCTTTTGTCGGAAGAAGTCATTCAGTTCTCGAGATAGAAAACTGCATGAAAAGCTGCACTAATTCTTTTTTCCGAAGCTTGTGCAGTTGTAGCTTCCCAAAACGTGTCCATCAGCCGCATATCAAGAATACAGTCAATTCTGAAAAATACAACACACACAAGCAGTATCTATGCACAAAAACAAAAGGAGAAATTAAACTAAAGCAATAAGGTAAAATAAACCAATATTTAAACCAGCTTCGAAAGAAAAAAAATACTCAATTAACTTTAAAAGTTTGAATTTTAAACCAGATNTGATGAAGTTTTAGCTTCCCGAAACGTGTCCATCAACAGGATATCAAGAAGACAGTAAATTCTGAAAATACAAGACAAAAAATCTGGTCCTACGCACAAAACAAAAATAAATTAAAAATCCAAACCAATCAGAAAGAATAAACCGATAGTATAGATAGTGTTCTCTACACTAGGAATCACTGCAAGCTCTTGACTGACTGCACCTCCGGGTAGCTTGTTGAGAATTTTGAAGCCAAAAGGATCACAATAAGATGACCATTCTGGTTTGAGATGCTAAAAATGAAAAGCGCATTAAGTGAAAAGTTCTCGGAAGGAGAAGGAAGAGAAAAAGTTACCATCTTACCTATTAGGCCAGCAAGAATGCGAATGAGTACTTCGTCATTAATATCTTCAAATCGTTCCGTTTTCCATAGACACGTCTTAATCTTTACTATAAAAATGATCTGATGAAGTTTTAGCTTCCCGAAACGTGTCCATCAGCAGGATATCAAGAAGACAGTAAATTCTGAAAATACAAGACAAAAAATCTGGTCCTACGCACAAAACAAAAATAAATTAAAAATCCAAACCAATCAGAAAGAATAAACCGATAGTATAGTGTTCTCTACACTAGGAATCACTGCAAGCTCTTGACTGACTGCACCTCCGGGTAGCTGTTTTTGAGAATTTTGAAGCCAAAAGGATCACAATAAGATGACCATTCTGGTTTGAGATGCTAAAAATGAAAAGCGCATTAAGTGAAAAGTTCTCGGAAGGAGAAGGAAGAGAAAAAGTTACCATCTTACCTATTAAGCCAGCAAGAATGCGAATGAGTACTTCGTAATATCTTCAAATCGTTCCGTTTTCCATGGACACGTATTAGGCTTTACCATAAAAATGATCTGATGAAGTTTTAGCTTCTCGAAAAGTGTCCATCAGCAGGATATCATGAAGACAGTAAATTCTGAAAAATACAACGCACAAAAGCAGTATCTATGCAAAAAACAAAAATGATAAATTAATGGAGATAATCAGACAATTTTGATGTAGCCCAAGATTTTGAACAATATATAAGCACAGGTTCTAAAAGTTTTTATTTTTTGCAATTTTAAACTTCATTATTTATATTTTCTAATATTAAATTTGATTTTCAAATAAAAGCATTTCGTTATTAAGAAAGTGTTGTCCGTACATATAAATTTAGAAACGAAACGATCAGAAGAAACTGAATCCACACTTAAAAATAATTCTAATCAATTTTAATAATCTGCTAATTTATAAAGATAATTGAAATACGATCTTTAAATTTACTGAGAGATAAAAATCCATCAGAAATAGATTTAAAATAAAGTCACACAACTTAAATGACTTTGAATAATTTCGTTACAAGATTGATTGAATAATTTTAATTGAATAATTTACGATGAACACCCCCCTTACCTACGTCCCTGGGAAATGGATCAGTCCCACGTGACATAAGACCTATTAATATTTAAATAGAGTGTCCAGAAAGATATAAAAATCCTCGTTCCAAGGTCAAATGTGTTCTTCTCTATCTATCCACCAACATGTAATGTTCTCATTTGTGGGCCTAACTTTAATAAAATTATATGATTCCTGCATTTTCCTGTCTCTTTTTCAAGAAACATCGGCCACACTACGAATCTACAATGTTTATGCCTTCGAAGCGTAACATATATATATAGGTCCCCAATTAGGCTTAGTCGTGCCTTGGGTTTTAACCGAACTAAAAAGAACAACGATTCAGAAAGCTGTTTGGAGCTATTAAAGCGACATAAAATGAAATTAAAAAAAGGGTTTTCTTTCCTGGGATGAAAGAAACATGGTTCATCTGGTACACTAATGTGCAAAGACGGATCGTTTGGGGGGTGGGGGGGGGAAGGAAAGGCATCGAAGAGCGTTTGAATGAATGTATCTTTCTTGAAAGAGTAAAATTTATGAATAAGTGTGAGCGGCGATGACTCAGGAGCGTTCGCCATCAAATGAGCTGGGCCTGGTTCTAGTCCCAGTGGTGGCTGGCTGGTGTAAATTCAACTCCCGGCTCGCCCGCTCAGTGCCAACATCCTCAGAGATCATGGGTTGGAATCTTCTCCTTCCTGTCGTGCTAACTATAAGAGCATCTTATGGTTATCCTCCTAATTTAAGGCAAATGGGGATTAGTTCCTCCACGATGACTGGTTTGTCTCAATGCATCACTCAAAAGTTTCTTTGTCTTCTGTGTTGGGCTCAAAATGACATGCTTGCGGAGTTGAATATTGATAGACACAAATTCAGAATTGGATAAACAGTTCAACGCTAATTACAATATAAATAGGTATGAAAATACTAAAATATTTTTTGCGCAAAATATATTTATACATGTAAATTAAATGCTTTCCGTAAAATCTTCCTTACAATCTTTTTACTTTGAAAAGAAAAGAACTGACGCAATTTTTTTTAAAAAAAGAAAAAAAAAACTTAATTAGAATGATTATGTAAAATAATCATTCTAATTCTGAGCATTTTAACGGAATCAAAAATGTCAACTATCAAAAATTCAACTTTAAAACTTGCTAGATATGAAAAAAATAAATTAAACAGTTTTCACAGATTGCTTATACAATTAAACTGCAACTATCAATTTAAAATTATATCATTGAAATATTCAAAAGTTGCATAATTGTATCATGTAATGAAATTATAAAACAAATTATAGGTTGAGAAAAAGGATTTTAATCACTAGTGAGAATAGAAATCATTTTGATCTATTTTTCTAACAGATGGCAGCACTAATTATTAAAAATAAAAAGTGTAAAAAAAGTTTTTAAAGAATCTCTTGGTGCCATCTATTGAAGTAACATTTAAGCGTATTTTTACACAAATAGACATTTAAGAACAAAAATTAAATGCCTATTTATGTAAATATGCTAAAAAGATACTTTAGTTAAAAATATTATGATTTCTTAGAATGAAATAAAAAAAATTACTAAAGATGGATAACTAAAATGAAAGCATTAATTATTAGACATGTTTCATAATTAAAAACAAAAAAAAGTATGTGCATTTGAAATATATTATTTGCCCTTTATTTTTAAAAGTTCTCTCAAAATCGAATGTTCTTTTAGCCGCACATTTTCAATGCTGCTACTTTCTCAAAAAGAGTAATTCTTAAAATTTGTTCATGAAGAATGTGAATGAAAAAAAAAACTTTATACTGTACTAACTTTGAACTGTGCATATTATTTATTAAGCATGATTAACACAATTTCTTTCCTACATATATATATATACTTAGAGTGCTTTATTGTGAAAGAAAAAAAAACATGATGTATTCTCTTCATACGGGCCCCCTTGACCGACGGGGCCCCGGGGCGGTGCCCCTGCTGCCCCGTCGTAGTTACGGCCCTGGGGGGAAGGCATCGAAAAGCTAGAAGAGCGTTTGAATGAATGTATTTTTCTTGAAAGAGAAAAATTTATGAATAAGTGTGAGCCGCGATGACTCAGGAGCGTTCGCCATCAAATGAGCTGGACCTGGTTCTAGTCCCAGCGGTGGCTGGCTGGTGTAAATTCAACTCCCGGCTCGCCCGCTCAGTGCCGACATCCTCAGAGATCATGGGTTGGAATCTTCTCCTTCCTGTCTATAAGAGCTTCTTATGGTTATCCTCTTAATTTAAGGCAAATGGGGATTAGTTCCTCCACGATGTCTCAATGCATCACTCAAAAGTTTCTGTGTTGGGCTCAAAATGAGATGCCTCCTGATTTTCTGCTCTTTTGAGCGCGCCTCACTGCATCACTCAAAAGTTTCTTTGTCTTCTGTGTTGGGTTCAACGGAGTTTAATATTGATAGACACAAATTCAGAATTGGATCAACCGTTCAACGCTAATTACAATATAAATAGGTATGAAAATACTAAAATATTTTTTGCGCAAAATATATTTATGCATGTAAATTAAATGCATTCCGTAAAATCTTCCTTACAATCTTTTTACTTTGAAAAGAAAAGTCGCAAAGTTTAGAAAAAAAAAACTTAATTAGAATTGTTATGTAAAGTAATCATTCTAATTAATTCTGAGCCATTTAACGGAATCAAAAATGTCAACTATCAAAAATTCAACTTTAAAACTTGCTAGATTTGAAAAAAATAAATTAAACAGTTTTCATAGATATTGCTTATACAATTAAACTGCAACTATCAATTTAAAATTATATCATTGAAATATCCAAAAGTTGCATAATTGTATCATGTAATGAAATTATAAAACAAATTATAGGTTGAGAAAAAGTATTTTAATCACTAGTGAGAATGGAAATCATTTTGAATTTCTAGCAGATCTATTTTTCTAACAGATGGCAGCACTAATTATTAAAAATAAAAAGTGTAAAAAAAGTTTTTAAAGAATCTTTTGGTGCCATCTATTGTAGTAACATTTAAGCGTATTTTTACACAGACATTTAAGAACAAAAATTAAATGCCTATTTATGTAAATATGCTAAAAAGATACTTTAGTTAAAAATATGATTTCTTAGAATAAAGTAAAAAAAAATTACTAAAGATGGATAACTAAAATGAAAGCATTAATTATTAAGATATGTTTCATAATTAAAAACAAAAAAAAAGTATGTGCATTTGAAAGATATTATTTGCCCTTTATTTTTAAAAGTTCTCTCAAAATCGAATGCTCTTTTAGCCGTAATTTTACAATGCTGCTACTTTCTCAAAAAGAGAAATTCTTAAAATTTGTTCATGAAGAATGTGAATGAAAAAAAAAAACTTACTTTGTACTGTACTAACTTTGTACTGTGCATATTATTTATTAAGCATGATTATTCTTTTTCTTATAATAGAAATTTTTATGCAGCAACTCGTAAATAGAAATATTAATGATTTTCGTAAATAAAAATACAATCGGACCTCTATTTAACGAAGTCACCAAATCCCAATAATAAGTCCGTAATGGAAAATTCATTAAAACCAAAACCACCTTTTAAAATACTTAAGCAACACAAAACAGGTTTTAAATTCATAAACACTGGACAATTAAAACATCAATTAATGCACTTTTATCTTGTAAACTAGTATCTACTCTTTATTTTATAAATCTTAACCATAAAAGATATCTGAAAGGAAAGAAAGAATAAAGCAAAACATTATCCAGTGTTACACTATCATGTTATATACATTTTCAGCTTAAAAAAAAACTAAATTTATGCATAAAATTATAGCTGCATTTATTATAAAAATAATTTTAAACATACATTACCACACGCGCTCTTAAGTTTAATGACTACTGATAAAATCCGTTAATTTGAACTGAATTTTTCATTTGAAATGCAAACAAAGAGAGATTTTACTAAAAGTGAAGTGGCTACGAAAAACAATTCAAGGTCATTTCATTCATAAAATGCTTTTAACAAATTTGAAATGTTTTGGGAAATAGGGGGAAGGTGGATCGCAAAGAAAAGTTGAATAAATTCACTCCGGAATTTTTCAAGTTATTTTACGAAGAAATTCCGAAAATGTTCCTCGAAAAAATTCGTAATACAGAAATTCGTGAAATGGAAGTTCGTTAAAGAGAAGTCCGACTGTATTTTATACAGCAACTTATAAAATTAAAGATGCTAAAAAAAAAAAACAATTATTAATCATCTGAATTGAATCTTACTGAATCGGAGACTTAAATATTGAAGTCATTCTTTCGAACAATTAAGATTTGCACTCACTTCGTGGAAATTCGATCTAGAAAAAAAACTTACTCAATTTGATATCATTTATTTTGCTCACCTTACAGCGTTGAAACAGTACACTTTTTGCCCATATGTACTTTTTTTTAAAATCTGAAAACAATAACATTAGTTTAATTATGTTCCCTTATCGGGAAATTTCAATATAAATCGTAAATGAAACCTAGGAAAAAGATAGTCAAACAAAAGAGTAATCAAAAACCAAATTGCAAGTATAGCAGTTTTATTTCTAACTAATTTGTAATATTACAACACAAAGATAAAAAAGAAATTTAATCTGTACATTATGTAAAAAGTTTAACACAAATTACAAAATTAAACTTCAATAATCCAATAGCAAAAATTTC